AGTATTTAAACAGTGAATAATTACATCTTCCAGTGTTTATAACACAAGCCACAATAACACATCACTTACCCCATAAGTGAGATAACATTGGCTCGAAATGTGTTGATTTGAGCCAATACAACATTCCAGTGCTTAGAAGTAGTTCATGTGGGTTCATCAATTCATGTGTCTATACGTGTGTGTTTAGGAAATAAGTAGTAAAGGGTAAGAAGGGTGTGAGAATAAGAGCTCATCATTTTACTAAGATCAGCCCTATAACCAGCTCATTTCTCATAAATGGTACCTAATACACCATCACATATACATAGCATATATGGCTGGAGTTTTTATGGCAGCTCATCTTCCCTTTTCCTAACAATTAAAATTCAAAAGTATGGAGGAATAAATGTAAAATGTATACTTGCTATATAATTCACCTTGACATTTAAAATTAAAATATTTCAGGTGCTAATCTGCCATTACTACCGACATGCAGGTACCTTGTATTCCCAGCAAGTACCAGTATCAACCTTCAAATCATGTTTTACTGTCCATGTAGAGCTCGTAGGACTTCAAATTTGCCTGCATAAAATGCCTCAACTACGTCAAAATTGGCATTATGTTCTGCAGCCTCCTCATACTAAACCTTACACCTACCATTCAACAGTCTAGTGTTAGAACTTCAGTGGCCAGTAGCGGTTCTGGCATTTTAACTGCAGAATGGTGGAGTGCAGTGACTCTTCGCACCAGGAGAGATTATTGAAGCCTTGAGCCGAAGTTGAGGCACTGTATAAGGTGTCTGGAATCCGAGGAACTCCATATGGACACAGAAACTGATTTTAAGATGGACACCGGTACTTGCATCTCAGCAGCACTGACAGCTTGGGATCTTACAGGTTAATTCCCCATAAAACTTTCCCTTGCCACAGCAATCTGATTATACATTCTTAATATAATCTTTATATAGTGTACTGGCCTACCCGAATAATATGTTCAGTTTATACTACATCATGGCGGACCATTGCACTACATAGTTGGAAAATCTCATAAAAGACTACACATCCAATTGTAAGGGCTTATGCCGACAGGAGTTGTTTTTCTTTGTTTGAAATGTATTTATAATGCACATCAAATGCAGGTCAGAAGATCCTTAGGACTTTAGCAGTACACAGGGCAGTTGAGAAGTTGCATTTGATCTGCTTTGTATAGAGATGCATTTGAAGTGAAGGCAAAGCAAGTCAGCAGCAGCAACCTTTTATTTTGAAATGCTGCATTTTCTATTCAAACTCTGTTTCATGGGTTCCAATAGAAAACACAGGGTTCATGACAACATATGTTCTCGTCAATTGCTAACAAGTGTGGCCTGCTCTACGGCCAGGAGTGGTAGAATCTCTGGACCTAAGTTCCTATCTTCACCATTCTGCTACAGACCGGAGATCACCGTCCCAGCTGGATTTTTTAATTGCTCTACATTATAAAATATACAGCATGGGGTGAGAGATTCACTTCAGGAAAAGTAATCAGTTCAACTATCCCATTCATAGGTGAGACACAAATTTTTGGTGGAATGGCTTTAAGAATATATTTTAGAAAGGGAGGTGAACTCATATGTTTGCTGAACCTAACATAACCCTGACTTCTTTAGCATTTTACAAGCTTGGAGAAAACTATTATTTTAGATTGTAAGGGATTTCAGACCCACAATGTCAGGCTGGAACTCAGCTGTGGAGGGATTATCATCAGTTCCATTTAGCTCCTAAAACAATATATAAAGCAACATGTGTCTTGAATGATACTATTCATTTGCAAACAATTTATACTAGACTCTTCACTGTAGAATGCTTTGTCTGCTGCCTGGTCACTGCTACAGGAACATGTATATAGTGCCAAGAAATGCCAAATCGAATTGGGCAAAATGCAGGATACTCAACTTACATGTACACCATTCAAAACATATTTTATGCACTGCAACTTATCAAAAAGCACTATTGGCACTGACGCTGTGCCACACCTCATCTTCCAATGCATGTCTGAATCTGATATGGTGTGGGGTATCACAGACCGGACTAACTTCAGACATTCAGATACAAGAGGCGGTTTGTTGAAGTACACCTTTTATTTTTAAACTCTAAAACTCCAGGCATACAGCTTTTTAACCCGCCAAAGGTTATGTAATACTGTGTTGTGATTTACAAGTCTTGGTCTTACCAAGTTTGGTAAGAGGGGGGGGCACATGACTATGTCCTGGTTGCAACCTTATGTATCACATCTCTGAATTTCACTGCAATGCCTCGCAATATTTAGCTCATCAATAAAGTGTGCTTATGCTTCAAGTAAATTCTGTCAGAAGAGATGAATTATTTCTTACATGGCTAGAGAACTGCTCCAGTGAGCTCTCTACATCTGCTCCAACCACCTGCCATTGCCTGTATTTGATGTACTTTGTAATGGCAATCAAGGGACATATCTGGAAATTGCAGTGCAGAGATCTCTGACATGCAACAAGTCAGTGGGTGATGGAGCCTATGAGCACCCATCGAAATAGGAAATATTTTTATGTACGATATGCAGGATCCAACATTTTATATATGTAATGTAAACACTAATATTATCACAGTGCTAAAGTGAAACTCCATTTATTACACCGATGTTTGCCAATTTTCAGATTCCTGCCTGCTCCTGTTCTAGAGATCCTACAAATTCTTCCTTCCTATAGTTACTGAAGAACAGCCAATGGAAGAGCCTGAAAGAAAGATGCATCATCAATTTAAACATAGATCTACAAGTTCCACCTTTCTCTGGAGCCTGACAGAGGCCTGCTTGCTGAAGGTTGACTGCAGCAATCCACCCACATGGCTTTTTTACTCGCCGATATGTAGCTCGGAGCACTGTCAGGGGAAGGGATGTTTGTGACTTCTCTAGGATGTTAAGTTGCAGAGATGGTATCTTCTAATTCAAGCAGCAGGGACATTCTAAATGCTGCCATTCAGACATCGGGAAACTTGACACAGAGTAGCACAGAAACAATTCAGTTTGAGGACATATCTCAGTTGTAATTTTAAATATGCTACTTGTCCTGGATGTGGAATTGCACATTAACAATTGTTTACCTTAACTTTTCTCATAACTCACTGTTAGAGTTATATTTTGTCTTTTAAAGTATATCCCCCCC